AAATGTAAAACTGCTCCCTCTGCATAATGAGGGAAAACAGGATAGGGAAAGGTTGAAGGGAGACGTGACTTTGTTCCCAGCTCTCAAACAGACAACTCCATGCTCTCCCCAAAAGGCAAGCCAGCTAGGGCTCCATAGCGTCCCCCTACCTTTGTCCCGGCTTTTCTGGAATAGCCCATGACATTGCCTTCCTTGTCCATGACTTCAATGCCTCGAATGGGCTCAAGACTTCGGACTGCGACAACATTCATTGCACTGATGTGGGCTGTGTATGTGAAGAAGAAAATGCGCAACAGAGGGCGAGTTTGGTCCAGCGAAGGAACATCTTTTCTGGTGTCAAGCATCTTTCTCTGATGGCTACACCGCCCCGACCCTCAGGTGGGCAGCCGGCATGTGCTGGCCAATCTCGCTCCGTCCGGGGGCTGCAGAGCTGGGTCAGAACCGCTGGCCTCCTGGTCCTGGGTCCTGGGTCCGGCCAGGCTCCAGCCCCCCGACGGGATTCCAGTACAAATCCCTGGGTCCTTGAAATACGGCCCCCCTCTTTGCTTTAGCTGGTCTGACCAGGGTTCTGTAACATTCTCCCCGATTTTACCACTGAGATCATTCTGCCAAGTCTTCAAACTGTTACGATTTCCAAACTCAAATCTGGAGTGTGAACTAGTGACCTTGCAGGCTGGCAAACTTCAAACAGTTGGCTAGTATCTCTGTCACTTCCACCGGAGTCGGCCCACCAGGCTGGAGCCCCCTAGGCTGCCGCCAACTCCGTGTGTGACCCTAGGACAGTTCTGTAAAGTGCCCCTGCCTCAGCCTCCCTATCTGGAAATGGAATAATGACATTGCTACCCACACGTTTTTGGCAGGACGAAGTGAAATTAAACATGCAGAGGGCTGGCACCGTCTTTAGAGCGAGTTTGTATTCCCGGGCTCGTGTTCACCCTTTGACAGTGGAAAGCAGAGCAACAGAGCAAGGGTCACCTCTCAGACCAAGGCCCTAACGTGGGCCTGGAGGCCCCAAGAAGCTGCAAACAGCAGCTGTCAACAGTCACCATGTGGCCAAGGGACTGGGCTGTCCCTCAAGATGTAGGGAGACTCAAGGACCACAAAGATTACATGCTTCCTGCTTACTGAGAATGATGACGGGAAGGGCTTTTTTCAACAGAACGTGATTCAGCCGCATCTGGAGCAAACGAGGGAATAACTAGAAGAAGAAGAGAGAAAACTCGTCATTGCAAAGAACCCAAAGTCAGCTGAACACACTCAGTAGCACAGACCTGGCGTCAACCTAGCTCCTATCCCAGGTCAGGCCACCGCAGGCGCTCTGTGTGTTATTTTTTAATTCTTGCAACACTGAGGTGTTCGCCCGATCGTCAGAGGCTTAGGGAGGTAACTTGTCCGGAGTCTCGGAGCTGCTAAGAGTTTGAGCCGGGAGGCCAACCCCGGCTTATCTGACTCTAATGTCTATATTTTTAACGATCAGTGTCCTGACATCCCAAGCAATACACAACTTGTATAACATGTTTATGTAGCCTAAGTCAATTTTTTAAAAAGGTAAGAATACTAAGTATATGCCTAGAGACTTGGGGTACTCGTATGCTTACTTAGGGGGTGATGGGATTATAGGTGACCATTTCCCTTCTTGTGTCTTAGCCATACTTTCTTTCTTTTTTTCTTTAAAGATTTTATTTATTTATTTGACACAGAGAGAAAGAGAGCCCAAGCAGGGGGAGCAGCAGAGGGAGAGGGAGAAGCAGGCTCCCCGCTAAGCAGGGAGCCCGATGCAGGGCTTGATCCCAGGACTCTGGGATCATGACCTGGGCCGAAGGCAGATGCTTAACCGACTGAGCCACCCAGGCGCGCCTTAGCCATACTTTCTAAATAGTTTAACTTGAAACAAATTTGTAATTCAGAATAGTTTCTTTTGTTCTGAGGAATAAAAAAGATTTGATAGATTTTTAAAATACCCACTCCAAAAAAGGAGGAAGAGGCAATCACTCCTGTCCCTAGTAACACACTCTCATGTAGGCGACGATTCTAAGGAAGAAACAAAAGTATGTATTCAGCAAACACCACGGTTTTACCCAGGAAGGATTATTAAAACAAACAAACTCCAAAAGAAGTAACACAGAATTGCGTATCCCCTGGGCCTCATAATACTCACATAACTTGCGTTTCCATTGACAATGTTGAACGCTGTGGTGTAGGTATAGAAGGAAATCTGCAGACAGACAGGCACGTAGATCACACACTACGGTCATTCGAGCACAACAGAACTCAGGAATCATGAAATAGAAATAGTTTTTACCTGAGGTAAAATCAGGGACTTCAGACTCTTTACTGACAGCATCGAGAAAAATATCTTTTAAGAAAATAAAGCAGAGTTTTAAGTGTTTGGAGGGGAGGGAGAGCAAAGAACTTCCCAGGGGAGACACTGCGCTGAGCACCCCACTCTCCCCAGGCGCTGGGACAAGGAGGCTACCGGGCGGTGGCGCGCAATGCTCAGCAAACACCCACAGGACACTGAGGACACGTGGGGGGCGGTCTCAGTGGTCCCTGCTTCCAAGATGTGAGATGCAGCAGGGCGGGGCAGCTGAGGAGTACGCACTCACGAGCGGACACAGACACAGGGCAGGTGTGGAGGAAGTGACAGAGGAAGGCTGTCCCTTTGGGAGAGCACCTCATGAGAGTCAAGGTGGGACCGCCTCGTTGGGGGGCAGTTCCAGGTCCCAGGTGAGGGCGTGTATGGGGGAGGAAGGTTAAGGGAGAGAAGGTAATGGACTATTCTGTGTGTTTGAGGCAGGGAGCCTGTCGTCCATCTCCTCGGAAGTGCTCTGCGCACCTGAGGCATCCCAAGAAAGGATAACCTTGTGACACTGGGACCTTCGAGAGGCGCCTGACTGGGTAAGTGTGAGGGCGGGGTGAAGGCCAGTGAGTAGCAGACAAGGGTCAGAGGTGGGGAATCCACAGCCATCTACCAGGCCATGGCGGGACAGGGGTCCAGAGCTGGAGATCACAAACCACTGAGGTTAGGAGATGAGCAACATCTTCCTACACCTGGGGTCTCAGGCTGACTCACCATGGGCGCCGTGAAAGGTAGGAGAGCTGGCAAAGAAGAGAAGAGGATCGGTGACCGTTGCTGCCCAGGTGCAGGGAAGAGGCCAAAAAGGGGAGTCGCCCACCCAAGAACCTTCCCTTTGGCAGCCTGAAGGCACGGATGCCAAAGGACAGTCTGTACTCATTCTTTTATTTTTCCTAATAATAACTATGTGCATGCAGCTAGCATTTCAGTCAGCACCGTCCAGAAAGACCTAACGAGGCACCCTCCGGCCTTCCAGTCCCTCTCACTGGAGGCAAGCGGTTAACCTGTTCATCCTCCCCAGGAACTTAGCACATTTGTGATACTGTCGTTTATAAGAAGAAACCTGGATTTGCTCTTCATCCCTGGTCTTAGCACAGAGAGCCTAAAACCCTTGGAGTTTCCTGAGAACAGCAATAAAAAGGTGAAATGGGTGTCTTTTTTACCCTAGCAAGCCCCTTTCCACCTCGCCTGAGTTGATTTTTTTTTTTTAAAGGTAGATTTATTTATTTGAAGAGACACACATCGAGAGAGGGAACACAAGCAGGGGGAGTGGGAGAGGGAGAAGCAGGCTCCCCCTGAGCAGGAAGCCCCATGCGGGGCTCATTCCCAGGACCTTGGGATCATGACCCGAGCTGACGCATAACCACTGAGCCACCCAGGCGCCCCGAGTTGATGTTAATAAGGGGACTTTTGCGGGTGCCTGGGTGGCTCAGTCGTTAAGTGTCTGCCTTCGGCTCAGGTCAT